AAATACACCTGTAGTTTCATACATATCAAAAAAGTATAAGAATGTAGTGTCTACACAACATTATGATAACAAAATTGATGCATTAACTGGTGAGTTGAAAAACCAGAAATTATAACGTTTTATAATTTAACAAAAACTGGAGTTGATATAGTTGATCAACTTTGCTTCATATATTTTATATCCAGAAAATCCAATAGATGACCATTGACTACTTTTTATACTATGGTAAATATATCAAACTGATAAATTATAAAGCTAATATATAAAAAGATACAAATTTATAAAATTATTAGAAATGGAACTCTCCATATATGATCAGCAGATAAGGGAAACCTCGTATATGTAGATTATTACGTAACAACATTGGGGATGTTCTCAATATAACTGAAAAACATATTCCATCAAATAAAAAGGTAAGATGTCATGATTGTCCAAGAGTGAAGGATAAAGAAACATCATTTATTTTTAAATTGTTCAAAATTCATTTGGAAAGATCATGCACATATTTTGTCGTGAATATTATTATAAAAATTTACATATTTTTTGATGATTAATATTTTTTTTGATACTTAATATTTTTTTTATAAAATTATGTAATTATCATTTCAACATTGATTTTATAATATAATAAAATTTGCATTTTCTAAATTTTTTTGGTGATAATACTAAAATTAAAAGGTCTCAAAAAAAAAAAATTTATTTCAGCAACTTTAGGAAAATTTGCTTAACTTTTTTTAGAAGTAACTATTAATCTAAGATTTTTTATTTATTATCTCCAATAATTTTTTAATATATATTCAAAATTTTAGATTTCAAATTGTAATATGTTCAGAAATGGCTATTTTTAAATATCCGACACCTTTAAACCAATTAAAATTTGGCGTCAAATAGACTCCACCTTTGAGTTAAGGGAGTTTTTTTCCACCTTTGTAGTGAAGGGTTAACAACACTAATAGGTTAATAATATTTATAGATCTGAACTGAAATGAATATTTGTTCGGGTATAAATAATAGCTCAGGTTTGGACTTTAGAGTGCTATAAGATATTAGGATTAGATTATGACCAGTTTGGATATATATTAACATAATACTTATTAAATAAATAAATTTTATTAATATCTTTTAATCTTCTAGAGAAAAAAATCCCTATTTAATATTTTTACAATATGGGAGGCTGAGTGAAATTTTTATCAATAAAAGACGCCGTTTATTATTTAAAATATTAAATTTCCATAGTAATAAAATAATAATCTAATTTTTGGGAAAAGGGAGGGAAGGGGGAATGGAAATAAATAGTATTTAATCTGGAAAAATAATTTCAAATAAAAAAAAAGTATGGGAAAAAATTAGATATTAATAAAAAAATTGATATATAGCAATAAAAATTATTTTTTAGTCATATTCAGAAAGCGATCAACGCTTCTATCGAAATCAATAGGAAAAATTACTAAATCGGAGTAAACTTTTGCAAGCTGGATATAATATTTTTTAATTGGGCGCGACACGTTAAAATTTTACGAAAGGTCTGCCCAAGTCTGTTAAGTTTTCGACCATCACTATTTTTATCAGAAACCTGCAGACCCAGCCCGGACCGTATTTTAATTTATTTAAATATACCCAGGCTGGGCCTGAATTTTTTTTTAATACTCAGGCCGTATTTTCATAACTTAATATTTTAAATCGGCACTATTAGCTAAATATATTAAGAATAAATATAATAGCCTTAAGATTGTGGCAATAAATGGCACAAAATTTAAATTCCCGAACCAAAGTGGTTAAATTTTTTAAAATATTTTCGTGGAGTGAATAATGATAGCAAGCCGATTCAAAATAAATTTTAGCTATTGAAGATGTTTGAAATGAGTTTTGCGACTCGAGCTTGAGATCACAGTCGTAAAAACTCGACTATTTAACAACATTACGTGATTCCAATGATTCTTAACAATAATGTCACTTAAACGAGAACATTAAAGTTAAATGTCCCAACCAGATGGCAAAGTATAATTATGCTCGAAAGCATATCTGAAGCTAATAAAAATCTAAAAGATAATATTTTGAAAAGAATTGGAAAGCATCATCTTAAAATTTCAAACTATGAATTAGGGTAGAAGAACAATTAATTTTTCTCTCGAAATTAAAGAAATAGTAAAATTTCTATCTTCATAAAATGGACTTACATTGAATTTGGCATCACTTTTCAGAAGTAAATAGAAAGGCTTTTTATAGTATAATTATTTCATTTAAGGAAAATATGTTAAATAAATTTGCCATACAAATGCCTGTGATCTTCAAAAATAATATTTTAATTTACTAAATTTACTTTTTATTTTAAAAATTATACAGGTGTTAGCTTCTCTTTTGGACCTAAAATTTAAAAAATTAAAATTGTGACAAAATATCTAATAGTGCAAAATTGCACATCATTGGAATTTATATTAAACATTTAAACTTAGTTTAAAGATTTTAGATTATTAAATAAAGAGATTTGACAAAGTGAACAAATCTAACAACGAGTTCAAATTATGATTAAACTTTTTTTTTATTATTTACAAGTGTGTAATTTTTAATCGCTATTTAACTACATGAAAATCGACATTCACGGTAAAGCCCATTTTTCATATTTCCATTCCTGATATCTTTAAAAGTATGATAGGTTCAGATTTAGCCCAAATACAAGCTTTACAAACTAATGTTGTTAAACAACCTGATTTGGGTCGATTTTTAAAAAGGCCCAATCAAGATTTTATCCAAAATAATATTATAAGCCTCGAGATTTGGCAAATATAGGTTCAAACCTTTCTGCCATCTATAAGTAAAATTTCCAGGCTTACTATTATTTTAACTAAGATCTTAATCGGGCCGTTTTTAAAAATCAACCCAAATCGGGTAGTTTAACAACATAAACACGAACCTTGGTTTGTATACAAAATTTCGTAAAAATTGAAAGAGTTTGATCAAATCACGTTCGACTTTTCACGGAATAACCCAGTTCTAGTTGTATAAAATATCAGAGACCTGCAGGCCCAGCCAGGCCTGTGTTAAATTTTTTTAAATTTACCCGGGCAGGGCCGGGCCTGAAATTTTTTTTAAAAAAATATGCTAGACCAGGCCGTATATTTTAAAACAAAATATTTGGAATCGCCATTAGCTGTAAAAATCAAAAATAAATAAAATATATTTTAAAAAATTAAAGGCCAGGCCTAAAATTTTTTTTAAAAAACAAACTTGGACCGAACCAAAAAAATTTTTGAAAAAAAAACTGAGCCGGGCTGAAAAATTCTTTAAAAAAAATCTGGGCCAGGCCGTACAAATAGTACCTCTGCAGGTCACTGTAAAATATATTTTGACCCAGCTAAAATAAATATTAAATACCTTCACCCTATAATTTGCTTTTATAAATTTGTTTTATTTTTAATATTTGTAAATTTTATAATTTCCTATTTCAAGATAATAGAGTATTTAGATTAGATAACTTATCTAGCAAAATATGATGAATGATTAAGAACTGATGCATTGAAAGCTCACTTTGTTGGTCAGTAACTACTGATACTTTCAATTTTAACAGATACCCCAAGATAATAACCAACCATAAATAAATTTTTACAAGAAAAAAAATTCTACAAATTTCTAAAAAAGATAAGAGTGTTTAAAAGAAAATATTAGGTAATCAAGCACTTTATTGAATGGCTAATATTTTATTATAAAACAGATGTTAATGATGTGTAAAGGCATTTTTGTGACTTAAATTAAAAAATCAAAAAATAATTTTGTGGAAATGGGAGGAGGGGGAGGGCAAAAACCCTGTAATATTTATTTTTCAAATAAGCTTATTTTGAGATTATATTTCCTTTAATTATTATTAGATGTTGACAAAAAACGTCATCTAAAAACTTATTTATCTTAAAATTTAAGTAGGACAATAAAAATGTGGTGTTTTATTTAATATTCTATAAATCATATTTTACATCTTAAGATGCCCGCTTAGCCTGATACAATAAATATAATCAAAAGATTTTTTAAATACTACTATATTTGATACCCATATAAATTTCTATTCTTACCCCTCCCCCCATTCCCATTATCATACTCATATATTGTAACATAAAATATAACACTTATTTTCCTTGTATAAATGATTGCCTGTGTATGTTTTCTTAAATAACTTACATCTAACTATTACTAACCATGATCGACAATCTCAGTTGAACTGCAAAGACTTAACAATTTTATTATTAGCTAATTTAATTTATCCTTATAAATTTTCTTTTTAATTTAATATTCAACCAAATAATTATATGAATAATACCTAGAAGGTTGTCTTAATAAGTGTTTAAAATATCAAGGTTTAATATAAATAAATGATATAACAATTTATAAATTAGAGTTATGAGTTATCTCTCATCTTACCATTCATTTCTTCCCCATCTCACCTTTTGACATTAAAATAATATTCACATGTGCTTGTGCTACAAACTAGAAAAAGTTTCTGCTGCTTATGTATGGGCTATTGGGTGAATGCGGAAAGACACATAATACAAATTCTATTTTTATGTTCCTCTAAGATCTATTTTAGGGATGTCCATGTCAAATAAGTTATCATTAGACAGAGGAGATTGCAATAGATTTGCTTTAGAAAATTGTATTATGAATAATCCAAGCCAGGCTTAGATAATTTAATCAAATATAAATGTATAAATTATCACCAGGTTATTTTAAATTTTTAACATAATTGGTAGAAGAATAATTAGTTCAAAAATTCTAAAAAAATAATTTTTGATAGAAGCTAAAATTCTGAAAAAAATTAAATTAAATTTGCTTAAGATTTTTTTTTTATATAATCTAGATGTCCTAATTTAATTATTTGTTTATTTATAGGTTACATTTTTTTCTTATCTTTGCAAATATTTAAGAGCTTAACAAATAATTTGCTAAACAATATATAGTATTTTAATAAAATGAGCTCAATAATCAAGAAATTATAACCAACTAATTAATATTACCTTTTTGTCAAATCTTAGTAAGATACAGGTTGAATAATGATGAGATTTGGAAGATTTCAATATTATTTTATCCTCCTTTTTCTTCTTATTAGAGGAATGTCTTTTGTCAAAATGATGATAATAAAATGGTAAAATATGACGACAACAAGGCTTTAGCACTTTGAATCCAATCATCTTAGAATAATTAGATTGTTTATCTAAAATAGTCTTATCTCTTTCCTTAGCTTCGAGACTTAATTTTAGCAAAGCTTTAATCAGTGAATCCATATCTATATTGTTATATGAAAATTTTGGTAATTTTTCCCCATTTTTTGGTGGAAGTTTTGATATCTCATTGATTACAATACTATCTTTCCTTGATGGTAATAATGGTGAAAGGCATGAAGGAGGTAGTGGTGAAACATTAGTGAGGTCTGAAAATGTATCATCCATATCTGAATCACTAGTCTCAAAACAAGAAATAGTTGTGCATGAACATTGACTACAACAGGAATATGATGTAGAAGAAAATTGAATAGATTCCGAATCAGATTGATCAGAATTAACTGTTGATAAACTAGATTCTTCATCATGAGAGAAAAAATCTGATGTTCCTTGATTAATTTGTTGTGTATTTTCATCTAAAACGAGATAGATTTTAATGTATAAATTTATAATTAAACCTCTCCCCATATCTACTTTTACTTCCAGCAAAATTTCTTTATTTTGTGATTTTGAAAGTGAGTTATTGGAATGCATTAATTCAATATACTAAAACAGCAAATCATTTTTTAACCTAAATATATGTGCCTTGATTGTTATAAATATATAAAAAATTTATAAATAGGGTATAAATGCATTTTTATGATGATTGCGTTGTTTTGTATTAAAAATAACATAAAAAGTAATTCAAGGATAATATATCACGTGAAATATTTAACCAATAATATCGCGTATTTAATGATTCTCAAGGAACTTTTTTTTATATATCATTGTTCACAATAAGTTATTAAGCATTTAAAAATTAATTCAAATTATAGTATAAGGGGTAAAATTACTAGCATCATTATAGTTTCTATTTAATTATTGTTAGTAATGTGTAGTATTTATTTTTTAATTCAAACCTTTTACATACTAAGTGATATATTTTTGTTTTGCCCTAATTGGAATTAATTTAATTAATATGGGTGTAAAAGCAAAAATATGAGAAGCCCTCCCCACTGTAGAAAAATAATGATAGAATAACAAGCGAAAATAAAACAGTGATGTATATAAGAAATCTTACTTATGACACGTTAACTCTACCAAGAAAAGAACTTAGAGATGAAACCGCAAAGAATCCAATTTTAAGAAGAGTAAAAATATTAATAAATGGTACAAATATACAAAATCAAGAACCGGAATTACAAGCTTTTAGAACAAGAATAGATAAAATAGAAAATGACGACGGTATTTTGATTTGGAATAGCAGATTAATCATTCCGTACTCACTTCAAAAAAGAGTTTTACATATATTGCATACGGGACATCCTGATATTATATCAATGAAATCCATTATAAGACATATATGGTGGGAACAACTAGATAAAGATGTCGAAAAACCAGTGGCGTCACTAGGGGGGAGCAGGGGCTCGAGCACCCTGAAAAATTTGAATAGCCCCCTGAAGCAGAAATTTTTTTTTTAATGGCTCCTTAATATCCTCTTGAACTAAATATAATTTTAATTACCCACTGAACGATTTCTTTTATAATTCTATTTAGTAATATATAGATTTAATTTTATTATTTAAAAATTAATAATATCTAAATTTTTATCAAATAAATACTATTTAATTATTAGATTAGATTAAAACATGCAAATTATATTTTCATTGTCAGTTTTCAATCAAATTCATCAATATCACTCTATAAATATTAATTTAGTTAATAGTTGAAGCTTAATTGACTTTTATTATTTAAATTATTATTTAATTAAATAAATATTAATTAAAAATTAACAAATTTAATATTGAAATTACGAGTTCAAAATCACTAATAAATAGTGTTGTAAACGAACGAAGTTTGTTTTTTTGAAAAAAATGATGAACGGCGTTCCTTTTATTTTTGACGAACTTTGAACGTGAACGCGTTCCTTTTTTATGACGAACGCTCGAATTTAACGTTCGTTAATTTTAAAAATACTTTTTATTTTTATTTATTTGAAAATTTAATATTAATCCGAATTTTTTAAAAAAAGTATTATTTATATTTTTTAATTGGCTGTATTTCCTTTTCACTCTCAATTTTTTTAACACGCCATTATTATAGTTTATTAATTTGAATATTATTGTTTATATTTTAATTTAATAGATTAGTTTAAGCATGGATATTATTATTTAATCCTCATCATCTGATTCTGAAAATACAAAATCAAATGAATTAACATTACCATGGCCAAATATGATAAATGTTTTACAAGTAACATCCTATGAAGGAACTAATTCAATGCTTACCTAGTGTAAAATGTGCCCAAAAAGTATTATATCAGTGTCAAAATCTTCAGGTTCCAATTTAATACGATATTTGATTGTAATATTAATTATTTTATTTTATATAATATAATATAACTAAGTAAAATCATTAAATTTGAATAAAATGCATTTGGAATAATAGATTTTGTATTAAAAAATATTATTTTTAGAAATGTCTTATTTTGTTTAATTATTTATATGCAAGTATATTTTGTATGCATTATATATTAAATGACAAAATATGAAATTCAGAATAATTGTTCAGAGTTAACAAATTTAAAAAAATATAATATATTAATATAAAACCCGGCCGATGGCCTGGCAAAAGTAGCGACGCCCCTGATTTGGGATATTTGACCCCAACAATAACGATAGTTATTTTAAAATTAAAATTAATTAGTGGCCTCAAATATGGTCAACCATTGATAAACGCCGTATTAAATGGGATTAATAAAAGGTATTAAACCTATCACTCTCAATTAATTACATATATTTTATTTTTTTTAAAGATTGAACATATGAAGATCAATATGTTCTTCCTGCAATTATACATCCAGTATTCAAGCTTCAACGACCATGGATAAAACTTCCACAGAACGAACCTATTAAAAATAATCTTATAGCTTTATTGAAAAAAATGTTTTGAAAACCCTAGAAAACTGTTAATTTCCAGATATCATTTTTTTGTCGAGGAACTAGAGAAGGGATTGGAGGAGGATAACTTATCTCAATTTTTTGAAGCAAATAACAAAACAATAAATGTTTCTAATTAATTCTCCACGTTAAAAGATTGATTTATTAAGTATAATACCGCAATCCCCTCATCTGCCCCTGTAGAGCGCGTTTTTAGTATAGCTAATACCGTATTAACTGATAATAAAGTAAATTTTTAATATTAATAAATAATTTTTAATTATTTTAGAGTTAGAAAAACCAATATGAAACACCTTAAAAAACTATGAAATCTTATCCTATGAAAAATACCAGTCCTGAAGCAAAACATTATAAGTTAAGTAGTGATTGAATGCACATTTGGCATAACTACTGATAAGTTTGCCATTAATTATAAATCTATAAAGTGCTCAGTTGAAAATGCCTGTAAAATATATTATTGATTATGAAAAATTCAAGAGGAATAAGATATTTATTTAAAGACTATTTTAATTATTGAATTTATGTATAAATTTAACATTTGATATCATTATATATTAAACTAGCTGATAGCCCATCAAGATTAATGGGGAATAATTTTCTCCTTTATTCAATGATGGATAATTAGAAATTTTCCTATTTAATGGGATCTTAAGAAATTTATATTTATTAAGATCAGGGGTTATTTTAAAATTTTTCTAAAATTGCAAATAAATGAATAAAAATTTAGTTCAAATGATTTTTTATTGTGCACATAAATTAAAATTACTAATGATGGGCTAAATATAATTAGCACTGCCTAACCTACTATTGACTCTTAACCAAGTTCAAGAATCTATGAGTCATAAGTATGGATTCTTCCTTTTATCTGACTATTTAAATTTATAATTTTTATAGGTAAATTTTAACTATATAGATGAATAACAATAAAAAATACAAATTCTCTTTCACCTAATAATCCTATCCTTTCAATAAAAGAGGTAACCTTATTTTCAGAGTTGTACAAAAGATCTTCTTTGAAGATTTTTGAGCGAGATCTAGCTCAAAAATTTGAGCAAGATCTTTGAAGATTGTAAAATTTGAAGATCTTTTATTTTTTAAAAATTTTGTATAACGATCTTCAAAGATCTTCATGATATTTATTTTTTTACCCCTTTATTAAAAGCCCAGATGTTTTTCAATTTTCATCAAGGCAGGAGGAGAGGTATAAAACATAAAAGAAATATTATATTATTAAAATTGAAAAACATCTGGGCTTTTAATAAAGGGGTAAAAAAATAAATATCATGAAGATCTTTGAAGATCGTTGATCGCAGCGATCAAGATCGTTACACAAAATTTTTAAAAAATAAAAGATCTTCAAATTTTACGGATCTTTTTATTTTGAGCAAATGTATGATTCTTATTTACAGGTCGATGCAAATAATTTAAATTTTATTAGACAAAATCAGCCAAAATTACGAGTAGATGAATATTCTGGATTAATGGACTACTTGGAAACAAGGTCAAACAATATAATTCCCGGTAAAGCAGTAATATTACCATCATCTTTTCAAGGTTCTCAAAGAAATATGCGAGAACGCTATCACGATGCAATAGCCATTGTGCTCAAATTTGGCAAACCTGATTTGTTTATTACTTTTACATGCAATCCTAATTGGCGTGAAATTAAGGAAAATCTATTCCCCGGGCAAAGTCCTACAGATAGACCAGATTTAATAGCCCGTGTTTTTAAATTGAAATTAAATGAATTATTGATCGATATAAATAAAAAAAATTTATTTGGTAAATCTATGGCTTTTATACAATCGAGTTCCAAAAAAGAGGTTTGCCTCATCCCCATATACTTATTATTTTAAACGATGATAGCAAAATTGAAACATCTCAAGCTATAGATAAATTTGTTTGTGCTGAAATTCCAGATAAAATTCTCGAACCTAAACTTTTTCAGATTGTTATACATTTTATGATACATGGTCCTTGTGGGATATTTAACCCCAAATAGCCTTGCATGGAAAATGGCATATGTACCAAAAAATTTCCTAAGGATTTTCAAATGGAAACAAGACCAAATATTGATGGGTATCCATATTATAAAAGGCGAGATAATGGTATTACAATTCTTTCCGGTAAACCTACGAATAATCATTATGTTATTCCATATAATCGATATCTAATGTTAAAATTCAATGCTCATATTAACGTGGAAATTTGTACATCTATTAAATCGGTAAAATATATCTTTAAGTATATTTATAAGGGCTATGACTGTACTAATGTTGACATTAATGTTGCTTCAAATATAAATATTCATGACGAAATTAAATCACATTTAAATGCGCGATATGTGAGTGCATGGGATTATTAGAAAATTATATGCATGACCGCTTGCACGCTGTTATTCGCTTAGGAATTCATTTACCTTTACAACAGCCAGTATATTTCACTGCTGGACATGAAAGAGATGCTTTATTGAGATCAGAAAATAAACATACTACTTTAACGGCATGGTTTGATTTAAATAAGACAGATCTAAATGCTAGACAATATCTTTATGGGGAAATACCTTATCATTATGTGTTTACAAATTACCATTGGAAACTAAGAAAAAAACGATTAAATGTAATTTCGAGAATGTATTCCGTTCATCCTAATTCTGGTGAACGATTCTTCCTTCGATTATAATTACTTCATGTTTGCGGGGCCACAAGTTTTGATTATTTAAAAACTATT